AGAGATGGATCTAAAGGTAGAGTAATGGGTGTTGGGAAGCTGGATTTTGTAGGGAAACCTAGTCTTAATGATGTGCTATTTGTTGAAGGGTTAGATGTCAACCTAATAAGTATAAGTTAATTTTGTGATCAAGGCCTCAAAGTTAATTTCACTAATTATGAATGCTTGATAAAGAATGAGAAGGATGAGGTGATCATAAAGGGAAGCAGATCAAAGGAAAACTTCTACTTATGGAGTTCTGAAGAAACAAAGTACACCGTGGTATGTTTGAGGGCCAAAAATGTTGTTGGAAGAAGTATTAGGCCAAATTAGAGGGTGTGCGTATATAAAGTCACACAAGATGCCAGGACATTGTCTTATGACAACTTGAGAATGACAAAAAGTGTTAAACATCTTGTTCAACAAAATAGGACTAGATTCACTAATATCAAGTCTCAAGGTTTAAAAGATCAAGCCAAGGAAGAAGACTTATGTTTAAAGTGCATAAGTATGGGAAATTGCAGCAAGTATTGTTGTTTATGTGGGCCAATCGAATTCTCAAATAATATTACTCCCATGTCTACTTAAGCCCATTCTTCCAAGGGGTAATCATTTGGACACACCATCTATACAAAACCTTCTGTTCTCTCAAAATAGTAGCGTTCAGTCAAAAAACTGCGGTTATGGCTCTCTCCCGAAAGTTTGCTCCAACAAAGAACAAAGATGTCTCAACATCCATCATTTGATCTCGTGCATGCTTTATCTGAGGATAATGGATCATATCACACAATGTCTAGGGTTGATGATTCGATTCAAATGGTTAAATTGTCTGACCTAGTTTTGGATATTGTATCGTTATCCATTGTTCCAGCTTTTACCCGAGAGGAAGCAAGATCATCTGCCTCAAGGGTTGTTAGGACTTCTGGTAAGTCTTTTATTGCTAATAATAATGCTAGGTCTAATGTTGACTTAGAAAAGGAGTCTGAGAAGATGAACCCTATTGGACCAATTATTATTGATGACAATGTTGCTGAAGATAATGACAACAACATTGATAAGAAAAATATAAGGTTTGTTTGCAAAGTGTTGAAGGAAGCTGGTATCTATTCAAATGTTTACATATCTGAGGAAGAAGAAAATAGGGCTGATAAGATCTCTAACACAAATCTAGATGAAATTACTTCTGATCAAGTTGCTCATGAAAGGAGAAGCAAGAAAAAGGATGATATGATTGATCCTGATGATGAGCCGATTACTAAATGTTTGGCTCCTGAAGTAGAAAATAGGCTTCAAAAAAGAAGAGAAAAAGGAATGATTGTAGATTCCCATTCTAAAACACCTAAAGAAATAAGGGGAATTAAAGCAACTGGATAAATCATCGTAATAAACAATGAAGTCGCAATCGATAGTTTTTCATCCCACCAAAAGGAAAGGTAAACATTGAGTAAACCTGAAGGGAGAAATCACGATCATATGACCAAGAGATCAGGTAAAGGAGTTGGTTACGCGAGGGGATGGTTTTAGCACCACACGCCCGTAGTACTCTATAATATCCACTCTTGTTGTCTAATCTAAAGGGTGTGTTAAAAATCTAAAGCTAGGTTGTACAGGGAATGCTTGCATGCAAAGGATTATTTATAAAAAAGAGGTTTTATTAGTTGTGCGTGCCGCGGTTGTGAACCTTTGTGCCTACGTACCACCTATCGTACAATGGAGATCAAGGCATGCGTAGTTCCCCTAAAAAGTTTTGGTTGGTTGCATGTTTTTTATGAGTGATACCATTTCACATCCTTGCGATTAGAATTTCAATTATTGATTGGCGTTGCATCTTATCAGAGACTCATGCTCGGCCACTCGCACACTTAACAACTCACTCGAATTTGAAACAACATACCCTTATCGAAAAGGTTTTCAAAATAAAAAGGTCTAAAGACAAAATGGTTTGCATTGGTGGATTATTTTTACCTTGAAAAAGGATTTAAGTTTTGTTTAAATGTTTTATGAATTTAATAAAGAAAAAAAGTTTTAGTCTTAATATGCAAAAGAAAACAACTAAGGGAAACTATCTAGTTCTACCCCTAATGTTGTCATGCAAAGATGGCCCTAAGGCCAGGATAAGGAGGGAAAAAGCCTACCTAATATTGGCATATATGGATAAACATCCTAAGGTCTACTTAGTTCGATCTTAACTAAGAATGAAATAAGAATCTCGTGGGTAGCATGTGAAAACACATGCAAAATAATAATCATGCAAGCAAACAAGCACTTAACCAAGTCATGAAAGCAAGATAAACAAACGCCTAAGAAGTATCCACTTACTCAAGTAGAACACACCTAACTGAGGTGTCATGTCACCAAGGTAGGAAGGGAGAAGGAATAAGCCCTAGCCATGATATCGAGTTACCAAGGTAGAACGAGGGAAGTGGGACACCTACCATGATATCATGTCATCAAGGTAGGATAAGGGATTTTCCTGACCATAGATATCGTGTCATCTAGAAAAGAAGGGGTCATGAAAGCTAATCTTAACAAATGTATCATGTCACCAAGGTAAGAAGTAAAGAGGAGGGAAAGTGCACGCTCAAAGCGACTTAACACCTAACTAAGATATCATGTCATCTAGGTAGGTGATAGAAGGCAATATGAGTAAGCACGGAGCATCAATGTTGACCAACATGATCTCAAGCCAAAGTGTGGGGATTTGGTTGGGAAACCCTTTTCGGTTTGACCGAATCGATACAAGAGTAAGCACACTCCAAAGTGTCAGCATACTATGCGAGCTAAGGATGACATATGACTGAAATTGGTGGGGTAGATTGCGAACCCTTCTCGCCTTGCCTTCTTTGAGGACTTAATAATGGGAAATGGGAATGAGACGCCTCTTTTTGAGGTCTTTGGAAAAAATATAAACACACAAAACAAACACAAGTAGAAAATAAGTGCCTTCCTGTTACAGGTCTTTAAACAGTGACTTCGAGCGTACACTCTTTATTTCCTACTTCTCATGATATCTAGAAAGCGATAAAGAATGCAAGTTAAAAAGGCACGAGAGAATATCAAACGGATATTAATCCGTATATGCTAGGCAATAGCAAAAGAAACCCAAAATACTCCACAAGCAACTGACATCAATAACAAAATGATCAGAGATTCGACGTGGAATATACCTCAAAGCGGTGATATGAAAATAAACCACAACACGAAATGTGTATCGAACACATCCAAGTACTAAACAATACACCTACACCAGATAACAATCCATACAAGAAACACGAAAAATACAATATTACACGGAATGTGTGTCGGACACGTCTGTATAACAAAACAATGTACCTGCACAAGATAACAATCCATACAAGTAATACAAAAATAAAATATGATACACAATATGTGTCGGACACATTCGTATAATAAAGCAGTGTACATGTACAAGATAATGATCCAGACAAGTGATAACAAAATATGGAATGTGTGTCAAACACATCTGAATACTAAACAGTACACCTGCATAAGATAACCATCCAGACAAGTAATAAAATATATCGTCTCATGGAATGAGAATAATTGCTAAACGTATTGAACACAAGTTCAAAACACAAATATGTGGCATAACCATGTTTTTCAACCAAATAATCAAGTGATAATTAAATGACTGCAAAACCATCTCAAAGTACCTTACTCAAGTCAACAAATGAGTTAGAAATAACAAGGAGATGATAATCAAAGTTAAGCATCTATATCACGAATTAGTTTCTAAAATCAATTAAAAATCTAACAAGTTTTTTTATTGATTTTATAATCTTCTTATCACAAAGAAAAGAAAAATTAAATCCTAAATCTACAAAGAAAATTGTAAGCTCAGGGGGGATGTTCTGGATATAGGATACTGCAAGCCAAATCTAGGCGCTAAGGGCCAACATGATACGAGTCTAAGAGCAGTTTTTGTTATACCATCTTTCAAATGCCAAAAATATGCATTGGGCTTAAAGCTCCACGAAACTGGCCCAACAATATCACCATAGCTAGTCTAGATATTATTATTGTTGTCTTTATTGAGATAACAAAAAGTTAAAAGAAAATATCTTAAAAGAATAGTAAAACGATGGCGTATAGTTAGGGTCACAATGTGACTTTTCAAGTTATGTGAAAGAAAATCCTTTCCCCTCTTTATCGTCTCTTTTCATCTTTGTTCTCAAACAGACGCGTCTCCCCGGTTGACCTCTGCATAACCTTCTGCATATTTCTCTATGTGTGTTGTTGTTGTTAACGATTATCGTTGATTCGGTTGCGGAGGTATGATGACTTGTTGAATCGTGCAAAGGAATTGATGAAGATGATGATAGTTACCGAAAGTTGATTGAAGAGAATTGGAAGGTTACTTGTAGAACAAACGTTTGGTTGTGATGTTCACACAATGGAGATGGAAATTGAAGATACGATGAAGATGAAGGTGAAGTGGATTCAGCCAAGTTGAAGATGAGGGAAGAGAGGGGATTATGTAGAGAGAGAGAGAGAGAGAGTTTTGGGGATTTTTTGGCGATGATTCTTTTGTGAAGTTGAAGAATGGTGAAGATGAAGATGAGAGAAGAAGAGAGTTTTTGGTGTGATTCTTCTAGTGATGAAGAATGGATCGTAAATTGAGATGAGTTCTCTATTATCTTTCTGTTAGAAGTTTGTTACAGATAAACAATTCTTAGCCCTTGGATTAAATTTAGTTACAAAACATAGAAGGCAGAGATTGAATCTGAGTTTTTGTTATGAGTTTAATTTTTTCCTTTTCCTGAACTAGTGCAGAGTAGATATAACTGTTTTTTTGTTGTTATTTTCTGGATTGCTTTGGACTAAAATACAGGGCTAGTTTCGTTACTTCCATACTTTTCTTTTGATTTTCCTGAGTTGGTACTAGACTGGTATTAATACTAACTTTATAAATAAAGCATTGTTTTTGTTTCTTTTTTTTACTTATGCCACTGATATGCTTCTCTTATGAATTGTCAATGGCATAATGACTTTGGATGCTTTTAATTTTTTGAAGAACCTTCTGCTATTCTTTGCCTATGTGGAGCTTCCTTGGTCACACAAGCTTTCTTCCAAATTAATTTGAGGAAATGATTGTGAAGGGGTACCATGAGGTTTGTGGTTGATGGAGAAAGGCTTGAAGAAAATGTGTTTATAATGAAGCGTAGTATTTGGACCAAAGTAGCTTGTAAACTGCTTGATATGTTTATGTGTAATATCATGGTGCTTATTGAAATGTTGCATTTTCTTGGACTGAATGGCCGTTTTGGCAAGATGAATACATATTGATTATTGAGATGTATAGATTGATCAAATTGGTTTAGAAACAATGTGATGATATTTTTTCTTGGAATTGACATGCCTTTGTATCTTAGTCTTCACACTTTCCAATTTTGTAAGCTTAAATAGTTTTAATCCACTCAAACGCAATAGACAACTTGAATGAATGCTAACCATACTGAGAACCCAAATTAATCTTCATCTCTCAAAGGAACCATATCTTCAATCCTTTAATCCACAAGCAACATGCCTTACAAGCAACATCAACCAATTGATAGGATAATGTTGACATTATTAATCCATAACTCATATCTTGTACCATGTCTTTGACAAACTCATTTTCCAATAGATGGTATTAACACAAAGGCCATGCCCTAAGGAACCTTTTTGAAACAAGTATCCTAATTACGAGTTTACAAATTTTTGAGCTTAAGCCAGTAAAAACACTTATTCTGGTTCACACAGTTCTGAATTCATTGAAACACTTGATTTTCTCTGCCGTTCAAGGCGTGCTGGAGAACACGGGAACTTGGCATGAAGATAATCTGACTACTCACTGATAAATAGTCAGGAGAGTGTTTGGATCAGGTCAACTAACAAAATAAACATCTTCCGTAACTTGGCAAGGCTTGAAAGAAATTGCTTGATCCCATAACCATAGAACCAATGATATACATGCACATGATAATGAAATATAAGCCAAATAATGTCGAAATGAAGAGTAAATTTTGGGGTACAACAAGAACTAATTCTAAAAGGTCTAAAAGAATCTCATTGGTTGGTCCTGCTAAGATATTGAGTAAGGTTATGGTACCTACTAGGAAGAGAAAAGTTGATGTATCAATGGACTCTGAGTTTGATGAGGATGTCTAGGACATCATACATTCCAAAAGATCTGTCTTGAATAAAACTTGTACGATAACTCACAAGGCTCTAGTGGAAAAGGTCTTTTTCCATTATAAAAGGAATGCAGATAAGTGGAAGTATATAGAGAAGAAGGGGGTTGGTATGGAAAGGGATTCAGGAGAAGATTTTTAGAAAGTTCAGGAAATTGCAGAACTCATCAAGAATGTTGGGCTAATGAGGAATGTTACCAACTTTGGCCCACGCTATGAAAGACTTGTCAAGAAATTTGTTGTAAATATTCCGGATGACTTTTCTGATGCTAAACGTCAAGACTATGAGAAGGTTATTATGAGAAGAAAAGTTGTTCATTTTTATCCTGAGGTCATCAATAAATTTATGGGAAGACATGAAGACCCTCAAGCTGAGCTTGAAGATTCAGATGATCAAATCTGTAAGGAAATAATTGGTGGTAGTGTAAAGTACTCGCCTAAAAATGAAAAGGTGTCCTCTAGTAGACTCACTATGAAATATGCAATCCTCCACATAATTTCTACTATTAACTGGATGCCCACTCTACATACCTCTACTATTTCCATTAGTCTTGGAAAATTCATTTTTGCTGTAGGAATCATAGTTTATTATGGCAAGTATATCTTTGATCAAATTATAAAGCATTCAACATCCACTACAACAAAGATGCCCATTTGATTTCCCACTCTCATATGTGGAATAATAATGAACCAACATCATGTGATTCTATTACCTAATGATAGTGTGAAGACAAGGAAATCTCCTTTGTCCTTACATCATAGGTTGTTTGGTGGAACACATATTCAAGACATTGTGGTAACATCCTCAATATCGATTCCTAAAACTTCAAGAGGAGAAATAATTTCTCAGTTGAAGGAGATGCACAAGGAGTTGGAGGAGTCTATCAGAGTCAACACAACTAGAAACACAAAGATTGAAGGATTGATAAAATCTCTAAAAGAGGAAGATGCCAGACAAGCGGAGCATGATTATAATCACTCTATTGACAAAAGTGATTCTGATGCAAGTATTGCTTCTGGCACTGATCATACAAGTACGTCTGATTATGATGCATCTTCAAGTACTTCTTCTGGTTCACAAGAAAATGGTGGTTCTGGTATTGCTAGTGCTTGAGGACTGAAGTTTCTTCGTTTGGGTTACTTTGTTTAGTTTTTTTTGGTTTATAATTTTGTATGGGCTAAATGCCCAGAATATTTATAATTTTCTACACCCTGCTACTTAACTCTTAGGTGCTTTAAATTTTCTTTGCTAATATTGTCTACTTACCTTTGTCATATTATAGCTAAAAAGGGGGAGTCGTATGATATTGAGGGTGCTGGAATAGGTACTACTGATGGTACTTTTAAGGGTGAGAATTCTATGATTCACTATTTTGTGATAACATATTTTGAGGGGGGGGTCCCTGCTTTGTTAGGACTGAAGGCTCTGAGGAGGTGTCAGACATAATGTCTTGACATCATTGAGAATTTAGTTTCTTTATTTTGTTTGGAAGTTGTGTTAGTATATCTTCTAACTACTAACCGTGTTTTGGTTATGTGTTGCTAACCTGCTTTGTGCTGTTAACCTTGCTGTTTCTTTTCCACTATTGTGCCTACAATGTGTGTTTTTGATATATTTTTAAACATATTTTGGTGTTTTGTGTGCAAGGGTTATTTGGTTGTTTTAGCCAAAAATTTTCAAAGGGGGAGATTGTTATTTCTCTAAAATTGTGATTGGCATACATTTTGGTAAAATCAACTTGGCAGAAACATGTTGATTAAAGAAGTCCCTACTTGTTGTTTTCAACATGTCGAAGAAGATGTCCCAACCTGGAGATAGGGCATCGCGTGTGTAGCAGTTGTTAGTTATGTTTCGGCTGATTTATTAAGTTAATGAATATTTGGGGAATATTCATGTAGCTTATGTTGAATCCAAGATTGACAAATTAGAATATTTTTATGTTGGTTTTCGAAGATTGCATAGTTTCTAAATATGGGAACATTTTAGGAAACTAATAATTAAAGACCTATTATCTAGGAGAAGAATGTGCAGACTTTGTGCAGCCTCATTGCTATGATTTTAAAGCCCATCCCAGTTCAGAATAATGTTATAAATAAACTGGTGTATACCTAGTATTAGGTGGAACTTACGTATGTAATTTTGTTAGGGTTTTTAGAAACCTTATTATGGGTTGTAAGTTCCGTGTTAGATGTTCTTAGGATTTTAAGCATAGAACATTTGTGTGTCATATGCTCATAAGTTGTTAAGAATTGATTATTTGTGTATCAATTCTCATATGATTTTAAGCATTGAGTTTTGTGTGTCTTGGAAGAGATACTTCAGACTTTGTTCTCTACTTATGTTTAGAGTTGCTCCAATTGCTGAGTGTAATTGAAGAGGGATTTGAGGAGGGCCTCATACCTAGGTGTGTATTATTTAGAAGTTAAGAAAAGGGTAGTGATTAAGTGCGTAGACTGTAAACTTGGATGTTTGCTGTGAGGTCTATAAATTGATACCATGTAGTTAATTTCGTCCCTGGCTTGGTAGCCCAAAGAGTATGTGTTGGTTTGTACTAAACTGGGTAAACATATCTTATGTTATTTACTTTCAGCACTGTTTAATTTTCCTATATATCTTGTTGTTGTGTGTGAAGTCGGATCTGATGTCTTGACATGTCTTAGGACATACGGAATCTGATAGCCAAAATTTTAATTGGTATCAGAGCAGGCATCTTGCTCTGACTCTGGGTGAGTTTTAGGGAAGTTACTTTCTGGTGCAATGGACAAGGATGGTAGAGATGTTGTTAAAATACCAATTTTAGATGGTACCAACTATGACAATTGGAAACCTTGTATGGAAGCCTTTATAAAATCCTTGGGTGACAAGGCTGGGAGAAATGTTATCAAAGGATGGGACCCACCAAAGGTTTTGGATGATAAAGGTAAGGTTATTGATGTGTTGAAACCTGAAGAAGATTAGAGTGATGCTGATGAGTTAATACCTCAAGAAAACTCCAAAGCATTGAATGCCATATTCAATGGGGGGTATAAGAACGTATTCAAGCTGATAAAGAATTGTAAGCATGCGAAGGTTGCTTGGAGACTTTAAGGAAGGTCCATGAAGGAAATTCTAAGGTGAAAATGGAAAAGCTTCAACTTCTCTCAAAACAAATTTGAGAACCTGAAGATGAAATAAGAGGGAAGCATTTAGGACATTCAAGTGAATGTTTTAAACATTACAAATGACTCAGAAGACTTAGGGGAGAAGATATCAGAAGATAAATTGACCAACAAGATGCTCAGATCTCTTTCGAGGAAGTTTGACATGAAGGTCATTGCCATTGAAGAGTCCCACAATGTAAGCACTATGATTGTGGATGAACTGGTAGGTTCTCTTAAGACTTTTGAATCTGCTCTCAATGAAAGAACCAAAAAGAAAAAAAGCATAACATTTAATTCTAGTATTAAATATTTAGAGGATAGTTGTGATTTCAATCTAGAAGGAGTATCTGAGGATCTTGTGCTACTAGGAAGACATTTCAACAAAGTTCCAACGAAGTCAAGGTCAAATGTCAAGAACATGTTCTTAGACATCATCAAAATTCAGGACAATGGAGAGAAGTCCAGAATTGAAGAAAAGCCAAATCAAAGAAAAGGATTTCAAAGTTACGAGTGTGAGGGATTCAGTCACATAAAATTTGAGTGTGCCACGTATCTCAAGAAACAGAAGAAAGGTTTATCTATGTCATAGTCAGAGGATGACTCTAAAAGTGATCATGAAGAGGAATCTGTCAAACAAGTGAATGCCCTGACTGGAGATTATGATTTTGATGAAGATTAAGATAATGAAGAACTTAATTTTTAGGAACTCGCTGGTTTATACATAGAGTTATGCATCAAAAGTGAAGGAGTATGTTAACAAGGAGAAGAACAAAAGAGAGTCATTTATCAACTGCAGGCTAATGAAGTAGAATATTTAGCCATGATTTTTGATTTGAAGGAGGAAGTTGTATTGATAAATTCTAAACTAAACAATATGACTAAATCTGTAAGAATGTTGAATAATGCTTCAAATGCTCTGGATGAGATTCTTGAGGCTGGAAGGATTGCTGGTAATGTTCGAGGTCTTGGTTATAACAGTCAAGGTGTGAAGAACAAAGAAGTAAAGAAGGGAGAAACCATAAATGGAGATGCTAATATTGTGG